GCAGGCTCTCTCACCCCCTCTGACCTCCTTGCCCCAAAGCTCCCTATCAACTTCTAACCACTCCAGCCAGACGGGTCATCACACACTCTGCCCAAGGTCCTTTTTCTGTCCTGTGCTCTTCCTTAGGCCTGTCAGACCACAGAGGGGCTCAGGCACCCTCCATGGCAGGACCCACCCCCAACCCCAGGAGAGTCACTGGAAACCAGGGCTCCAGGTGACTTTCTCAGGCTCCTGCTGAAGTCAGTGTGAGGGCTGTGGTCTCAGGTGCCACAGGACACCCCTCAAAACAAGTAAGAAAGGAGCTTCAGAAGAGCCCCCTCCAAACAAGTAAGAGAGCAGCTTCAGAAGAGCCGCAGGAGGGGCACCTCTCTCACCAATATACCCAGAAGGCCACGCACCAGAAATGAAACTTCAGAATTAAGCCAGGCATGGTGACATACACCTATACTCCCAGCACCTGGGAGATGGAGGCAGGAGGATCAACAGTGGGGCCATCCTCAGCTACACTAGAAGTTAAAGACCAGCCTGGGCAACATGAGACCCTATGTCAACAACAAAAAGAAAAATGAAAGAGAAAAAGTCAGATATGAAGGGCCCTCAGCCTAGCAGACTGGAAAAGTGCGGCAGAGGCTGGGCAGGGCAAGAGTGCAGACAGTTTGACCTCCCCTCCTGATGCAACCTGAGGTACACTGACACTGCAGAGGGAACAAAGATGCCACTCAGCAGCCTGGGCACACATGAACACTCACAGAATCACTCTCTCTGAACAGGAACTGTTCCTACCACCTCCAGCCTTCCAGAACCTCAGGTCAGAGACTTACGGACTGACTCTCGGAATAACACACTCCTCGGACCAGCAGGGTGACAAGCTGTGAGCGGAGGACAAGGCCGTGGAAGGTCAGTGGGCGGAAGCGCTCTTCCATGGTCCAGTCTTCACTTGGGGACTGGTCAGGATATAGGTTGGGGTAGGGAGTGTATCTGTTACACAAAAACCAGATGCTGCCTCATATACCCTCAGCAAGGTGCTTCTCACCACATCCCCATTGCCCTCCCACAATTCCCAGCGCTCAGGTGCCACTAACACCCACGGGTACAGGGTGCCCTGTGTGGCAGCCGCACGGCACGGGGCCCTCACCTCCTCTCCAGCATCTGCTGCAGCAGGTCCTCCTTCTCAGCCGGCTCCTCAGAGGCCACATGCTCGTCACACATGTTGCGCAGCTCACTGGATGGGTAAGACTTCATGGACTGGCTCCGCTTGCGCTGCTCGCCAGCCCGGGTGAGGATGCTGGATTTCTGTGGATGGAGAACGGGGACAATGACAGGCTTCATGGGGAACACACAGTGCTGGGCAAACTGAAACAGCAAGACGGACTGGCAGGTGTGAGGGAAAGCACCAACAGAGCCCTGCAAGCACTTGGAGGTGAGGCCTGTCTGAGTCCTTGGACTTGGCTACAAAGCTGGTAGTTTTTCCAAGAGCATTCCTTTTTCTTTTGTGGTACTAGTGACTGACCCTGAGCCTGTGGCCTCACACATCCTAGGCATGTGCTCGACCACTATGGTATCCTCCTCTAAGCTGTTCTGCCATGTACTTTGCCACAGTGATTTGCAATTATCTAACAGACCTGGCCTCATGGTTCTGCTGGCCCAAGATCCTTACTCCTTTTGGGGAGGCACACCTCAATTCTGCAGAGGGAACAACCCTTCTCTTAAATTCTGTCATGGAGGGACTATCAAATGTGTCTGCCCTTCCCCAAAGCCACCAAAGCCAAGAGGTGGACCCAGGGCCTGGGCGAGAAGGGCTCACTCTCCCTAGACTGTGAGTTGGGAGCTACCAAGGACAGAAAGCAGGCAGTGCCCATTGCTCTCGGGACCCAGAGGGCAGCAACTGTATCCCTGGAGCTCACAGCCCAGTTCTGCAGCTGTCCTGTCATGCCTGAAGCTTCTACCAATGTCATTATTCCTTTTACCTTCGGTTTATTCAGACAGGGTTTTATCCCTGGCTAGCCTGGGCTCACAGTGTCCTCCTGAGTCTCCTGCTTCTTTCTT